GGGAATGAATACCAGTTGTAACCTCTCCCACCAAAGACACAAGCCAGATGTTAGAGGGGTTTTGCCACATTTACACTTCAGTTTTTGTACAAATCAAACAAAGAAAAATCAAGTTCGTGGACAGAGCCAGGATACCTGTTGACACCTTTTCCTTTGTTTCACATGTCCCATATGGTCTAGCGGTTAGGATTCCTGGTTTTCACCCAGGCGGCCCGGGTTCAACTCCCGGTATGGGAAATGCAACTTTTCCAGTGCCCTTGTGCAAGGAAGAGCTGAATCTCCTGCTCAGGCTACACAACCATCAGCAATACTGTCACTCTATATATTCCGGCTTAATGGCACATCTGTAGGTCCTGTTTGTGTATTTGGACAATAGCAATAGCGTTAAAAAACCCCATAATGTCCCTCAAGTGCCTAATGAAGTAAAAGGACAAAAATTGGAATTGGTGCAAACAGTCACCAAATAATATCATGTATCTTGCTTGTCAGGAGAGGTGTCAATCCTCTTATTTCCTTTCCTCAAGTAAGATTTTCCAAAATGCTGGACTGTTCCTTTATTGTCCCTGATAATACAAGTAATATGTCTGAGAAGCTTTGCCAAATTGTGCATCAGAAATGAAGTCATTGAACTGTCAGATATGATGATCCTCATTGCAGTGTATGCACATATACAGAATACCTGAAGGTATAGAAACAAGATGGCTGTAACACACAGCTTCCTGTGTACGCAGGACTACCTAGACGTATGTGCATGAGTGTACATTCAAGCCAAAGTATGTGTGTTGATCATTGTACCACGGGTGCTGTGGATCTTCAGTTTCAATGAGGATTAAGACCAGTTTTCAAAAGTCCATGCGCCTTTCTCGGCTCTTAAGACCCATCTGATAAATCCAATCCTCTCAGATCCACAAAGGCTGAGATGCGCACACAGTTCAATCAATATCCTCTGCTTCTTTGACAGTCATGTCAAGGTCATGCATACAGCAAAGCCTTTGGGTGATACATAAAAAGATGTGTGCCTGGGCATTGAAATGCATTATGGTAGACAGGAGCTTAAAGCTGTATTTATTTATAAGATATTGGCTTGGAATAAATTAACATCAGGAAAGTCATTTTAATCTCCTATATCATATTAGCTGTCTCCTCTTATATTGGCACAAGGCTAGGTGAGGGATGATGTATGAGGGGATACGGAAAGCTAATCACTGCTAAACAGCACCTCTAGGATTTTGGAAATATTGAGAAACTCTTTTCTATCCTACACAGCACAGCACGGATGTGTCAGTGAGCCCTGTTATTAAACCCACAAAGGATATTTGTCTCCATTTTACGGTAGTCACATTTCAAAATGTTCAAAGGAAACAATATGTCTGTGTCTAAAAGGAACATCATGGCAATTTTCTCCTTATAATGATATGTTTCTCCCACCAAAGGGAGATTAACCCATTGATGTTTGCTGCTTTGGGACCTACTGTGTTTCACACATGGGTAAATCTGTTGTTTTCTTTTTAATTACGGCGCTTTGTCTTGATAATTGTATTTCTTTTATATGTAAATCGTGCATTGGGCCATAGACAGTTTGATAGATTGGGCCTGTTTTACTGGTAAAGCAGAGCAACTGGTATGAGCCTGATATCCAAACATATGAATGATGTGGCCATTTACAAGACTGGGTATACCTCTACGCATATACACATAATAACAAGAGACACAAAAACATAATTACATAATTCTGATTTAACCTCAATGTGAGGAAACCTTGGTTATCAGTGCTGTATTTACAGCGCTTCCACAAGATCCTCTCTTACCCTTTTCCACCAAATCAGCTCTGGTTCTTGACCGGTTCCGTTCAGGATTCTTGGAACCTTGGTGCTGCTTGTTTTTACCAAAAAACCAAGCATGGAATAACTATTAATGAGACCACTGCACACTCTTTGATGATTCCTAACTTGACCTTTTCAGTGTTGCCGTTTCAATGCTCCCTTTTCAACCTGTACATTATGACATGCCAGCTGATGTCATCACGGTGTGCATGTCAGGTAGAGGAAGACCTGCTATTCTTGGTTCCACTTGTGAAATCAACTTTTCAGGCTCTGAATTATTTTGGTTATTTTGAATGAAATACTCTAAACACTTCAAAATTAGATGCAGCAACCAGAATGGAACTGGTTCCCTGTTGGTGGAAAAGGGGTATCAGAATAGCTGTTGTAAACATATCCAAAATGAATGGCGCCAAAAGGTTCCAGAATTTTAAATAGACCTATTAAAAAAAACAAATTATTATTCGGTTTCTTTGGAAAGGCAGATGTCTAAAAATAAAACTGGTCACTCAAAGAAAGAAGGAGTTTGTTAGACTATACTAAATTTTAAGTTGTATTTCCAGGCTCTTACCTTTTGCCAGTTATTAAGTTTGTTCAGTGGAAACACCTCAACTCAACGGCTCAATATTGAGAGGAATTTGGTGGCACCAGGTCACTTGAACGACAGGCCTCTCTGTTGGAAAATGCAGACTGAAGCACAGACAAATAATAAGCAAAAGCAAAAGCTCTGCAAACGCAGAGCAGTATCGTGTATGCTGTTCAGTGCAGCCAGGAATGCACAGATTTATACACTGGGGAAACAAAAAGCTGTCCACTTACATCTACAGGAGAAGGGACACTCCTCCGTCTTGGCCAGGGAGGACAGATGGTTTGAGAGAGGTGTAAAAGAAGCCATCTACGTCAAGCTGGAACGACCATTGTTAAACAGAGGGGATGGCTTACGACACCACTTATCACCCACCTACAATGCAGTCTTGGGATCCCTCTCCAAACGACTCCACACACATTCACCCCTGGTCCCACCTGACCCTAACGACTCACATGGTGGGCAGGTGGGCCAACGACTCACATCGTGACCTTAATGACTCTGCAGGAGTTCACACCCACGCATGATTTAAAGCCTGCACCCCTGCACCAGTGATTTAGAACTGAAGAAGCTTCTTGGATGAGAGGTGAAACGTCTTCAAGAAACGCAAGCAAGTCCAGCTGCCTACGATATGGCACTTTTGATGACAAATAATAAGCCTATACGATTCAAAATTTTTGAAAAATTGAAACGATATATAACTGGAATTCACACTGGCATGCCAATCCACCAGTGTATTAGAATAATTCATTAAGGTCTGGAGGACAATATTTTACCTCATCTCAATGGTATAATTCAGGTGAACACTGATGACACTGGTTTAAGAAGCTTTCAGGATCTGAATGAAACATATGAATTGTAATCGAACTCCTTTTTTTTCTGTAGGCTATCTACAATTACAATCTGATATACTGCTTGCAAATATCTAAAGTGACAGTCATGTGGTTATTCATCCAGTAATGGGCTTAATTATGAAACTATCTGGATTAGCTAAAGGACACTCTTGTTTTAGTTTATAATATTTTGTTAGAACACACACAAACTCCACTGGGTGATATGACAGTTTGGAATATTGACTACATTCAATCACTGATAGATTGGGTCAGAGTTTGGGGGAATGTTTCCCTTTCTTCACAAAACTTAAATCATAAATTAAGACTCTGAAATTCATATATCAAACTTACTTAACACCAAAGTGGCGTTATATGATGAATATATTAACGTCTCCAAACTGTACCCTGTGTGATTTGATTTCTTACATATAATGTGGAAGTGTCCATCGTTAAGATTGACTGCTCTCCAGCATGTATGCTAATCAATGATGATTAAAGGCAGAACTTTAACCATACTCAAAGGCAGCTATGGCTATCAGCATGCACTGTTCCTAAAAAAGATGTTGGCTGTTAGGTGGTAGCTGCCACACAGTCTTTCTACACAACAGTGAAATTACTCTTTAATAGAGATTTTATCTGTGGAACTCTCTGAGGATGAATTGGGCAGGTCATGTTAGGCTTGAGGCCAGGGAGGAGGCACTAAACTTCATTTTGTTTTTATTTTTACTCTATAATGCAGGTTTAAGATTAGGCATAGGGTTATCTATATATGCTGTGACAATGGCAGCAGTTATTTGTTAATGTGTACCTGCAAGTTTTGTCAAAAATAAAAAAGTCCAAAGGAAAAAGAAAACAAACATTGTGTGCAAGTTTTGACTTTGCCTAAAGTTGCATCATTAGTTCAACAGCAAATTAAGAATTGTATTTGTATTCTTGTGACAAGTTGTGATATTGCTCTTGTATGATATTTGATATTTATTTTGAGTAAAAAAAAAAAGACACGAACATACAAACAAGCAGACAAACAGAAAGAAAACAAATAATGAAAAGCATCATGAAAATCGACTGTCAATGTATAGTTACTTTGATTTACACATTCGAAAAGGAGTGAATGAAGTGAAACAGCTCCTGTAACTCAAAATCTGTAATAGCTCACCATGATACTGAACCTTTATCATTAAACAGAATGGGTTTGCTGATAGTTTGCCTTTGTTGGTGCCTTTATTTCTTTACATGCTAATTTCTGTCAAGATGAGTTTAAAACAGGTTTCCTTGTATTCCCTACAGGCATACACAAACTGCACAGAGACACACATGCATGAAACAAACAAAAACTTCTAATCAGATTTGTCTTAAAATAATTAAAGTGTTTTTTAAATAAACTTTCTTGAAATTGTTATGCAGAAAGATTGTAACACATTGTGTACAAAACATGAGTTCACAGTTCCAGACATGCCTTGGAGATCTTAAGGTTGTGGTAAGAAGGATAAAGAAAAATTAATACTTAAAAGTTATATTGGTACAGTGATTTTAGGCTATATTTTAACATTTTTTGAAGATGTTTTCTTTAAGAATTTGGATTCATGAAAATAAAAGTCAGTAAAAATAATATAATAATATATATATAACAATAATTAATATACAGTGAAGGATTACAGAAGGTCGTTATAGTTAACTCCACACTTGTTTTGTATGTGGGTCAAACAGTCAAACTCATCTTGCATCATTTTTCTTGTGACGCGGACTGGTCAGGCAAAAATTGTCCTCGCCGGCCACCGTATGATGTCGTGGCGTTTGCTGATGTACACGGAGTTTCCCCTCTTACCCGCTCATCATTAGCTGTGATTTCTGGCTTATTTAGTCTGAATTTATTTCCTTACACGTTACATAAACCACCGGACAGTGTTACCTTAAGCGGTTCAAGATGAGACGCGCCGGTTTGGGTAAGAGACAAGCGGACATTTTGATTTTAAACTCATAGTTAGCCTGCTTGCTAGTTAGCTAACAGCGAGCTAACGTTAGCTAATGTTGTTGCCAAATGTGAATGAATGATGTGTACTCCAGGCCTACGTTTACATAACTCCACAGTCTGTGACAGGCTAACATACTAACAAATAGCTAAAACTGTGTTTTAATCATCATTGTCGCTTTATTTAGGTGAAGGAGGTGCTGGGAATTATGTAGCAAGTGGATACAGTGTGTATGAAGAGGAAAATGAACACCTACAGGAGGGACTGAGAGCTAAAGTCAACGCTTTGAAGAGTGTAAGTTACTGTTGATTAAATGTGTTTATTAAGTGTTATAATATTGGTGAATGCTACAGAAAAAGCTGCACATCAGAGTTGTGTGGTGGACGTCTGTGGTGTCACATGTAATATGACACACATATCTCATTGAAGATCTTAAACGTTTGTCCCATATGGACTGTTAGGTCTAAAATAATGTTAACTAATGGCCTTGTTGTCTTGATATTTACATTTTGATACTTCATATTTACAGCTGTCTATCGACATCGGAACGGAAGTGAAATACCAGAATAAAATGCTGGATGACATGGTGAGTTTCATTTTCCTTTCTCACTGACCAAACACTGTGACAAAGTGTAAGTGGTAAAGGAGATATTCACAGCACCTATTAAAAATAAAAGTCTTACTTAAAGGAATACTTAACCCACAAAAGACCATTTGTGAATCAGTTAGTTATAATGATAATAATAATAATAATAACAACGTTATTTATATAGCACCTTTAAAAACAGAGTTTACAAAGTGCTTTGACAAACAAAGCAAAAAGCGGAATAATCAGGAGCAAATAACAACAAAAAGTCAGGCAGAACAGAGGCGAGATCAAATTAGATAAAATGAGAAAAATAGAGGGCGAAGCCATGACAATTAAACACACAAATGTCACGGTAAAGGCAAATGAGAGTAAGACCAAAAGGATAAAAAATGTAGAAAAATGAATAAATATAAATAAAAGAATGACAACGATAAGGGCAAAAAGATATACTCATTAAGATAAATAAATAAATTAACATAAAAAATACGGTTTGAAATCTAAAATAGATGACATTACTTAAAGGCAAGTCTGTAAAAGTGGGTGATTTAAAAGAAGTGACTGAATCTGCGAGCCTTATCTCCGCAGGCAGGTTGTTCCAAAGCCGAGGGGCCCTGATGACAAATTCACGGTCACCTTTAGATTTCAGCCTCGACTTTGGAACTGCCAGGAGGCCCCCGGCTCACATGGGGTCAACATTTCTGATGTGTAGCTAGGGGCCAGACCCAGGCGAGCTTTAAAAGTGATCAGTAAAGTCTTAAAATCAATTCTAAAATGAACGGGAAGCCAGTGGAGAGAAGTCAGGATTGGGTTGATGTGATGTCCTCTATTAAAACCAGTAAGTTTGAGGCAGGACAGTGACTTTCGGTTAATGCCGGAAAGTTATGCAGTGTTACCTTGAATTTGTGAAGACAACTGCATGTATTGATTGATTGGGGATCCCATTTAACAACAGCAAAAGCAAGTCTCATTTATCAAGTCACGAGCTCAGGACTTCCCAAACACATGCATTCCCTTAGTATTGGAGTCTGGCTTTGAAGAGAGCATAGATATGTTTTGCTGTGCGTTTTTGAAGTACTGAGCATATCATTGGATAAATAAGACTTTGGTTATACTGGAAAGAGTTATGTCAATCAATCAATCAATCAATCAATTTTATTTATAAAGCCCAATATCACAAATCACAATTTGCCTCAGAGGGCTTTACAGCATACAACATCCTTCTGTCCTTTGGACCCTCACAGCGGATAAGGAAAAACTCCCCAAAAAGACCCTTTAAGGGGGAAAAAAAATGGTAGAAACCTCAGGAAGAGCAACTGAGGAGGGATCCCTCTTCCAGGACAGACAGACGTGCAATAGATGTTGTACAGAACAGATCAGCATAATAAATTAACAGTAATCCGTATGACCAGAGAGAGAGAGACAGAGAGAGAGAGAGATATGCAGGACAACAACATACTACTGGCATAGACTACTGGCTACTGTGGTACAATTTGTTGAAAGTATATATTAGTATCTGGCAGTATACATGTGTGACAATCATATGTGTATAATAACAGTAGAAGTATGACTAATGACTAATGATGGCAGCAGCAGCAGGAGGCATCTGGCAGGACCACGGCAGCAGCATGTGAGAGTTTGTGAACATGTTTTGATATAGTTTCACGTTTGTTAAAGGTAATCCTGAATAAATAAATAAATCAGTATGTTTGACGTTCTCTGTGGAGGCATATGACAATATATTTTTCAAGGAATTCAGTGTAACACAATTTACAAATGGTCATTTTTTCAAAAGAAGTATTCCTTTAAGTACAAAAGTATTGGCAGCAAAATTTACTTAAGGAATAAACACTTATTGTGCTGTGATTTATCGTATTATTTCCTAATTGATATTGACCCGGAAGCAGCATTTTAATGTAGCAGCAGGTGGAGAGGGCACTTACAGCTACATGTTACTGCTGCCACTGTTACTGTTAACACTACCAATATAACTGCTGCTATTGAGCCTGGACTTCTACAAATCCTGTGTGCAGTAATGTTGTACACACTCCCCACTTACACACAAATCCTCTTATTCATATATATACATACAGTGCTCATTCCATTCCGTCTTTTCATACATCTCATTCCATTCATATTCTTTAATATAATTGTCAAATAAATTAAGTAGAAAGGACAATTTTCCTTCTGAAATGAAGCTGAAATAGTAAATAGTGCCTCAGAATTGTACTCAAGCAAAAGCATGTATCTACATTTCACCATGTAAGTATGTTTGCCTGCTGGCCTGCTTGGTCTTTAAACTCTGCATCCCCCTCTCCCAAACTAGGACACAGACTTTGACTCAACAGGCGGCCTGCTTGGTGCCACCATCGGCAGAGTCAAGCAGCTGTCAAGAGGCAGTCAGACCAAACTGCTGTGCTACATGCTGCTCTTCTGCTTGTTCGTCTTCTTTGTCCTGTACTGGTTCATCAAGCTGAGGTGATAGGAGGACTCTGTTGGGACTTGGCCTCTGAACTCCACATCTTCATCCCCAGTCTGTGCCACACCCATGCATCTCAAAACTAGACCCACATGATGCTGACGAGAAAAGGCAAGGATTTGTTTTTAGGTGTCTCAGCTTTTCATGTGCCCACGTCGTCTCTGAGTACTTCATAGAATGACCCCAAAACTGAATCAGGAAAGGAATCCTACTGATGTAATGTGATGGAATCCCTAAAAGTAAAACTCGGTCTGAGATGACTGACCATGTGAAGTAGTGTATATAAGGATGTAGACACTGCCTGTATATGTATACACACTTATTAGCAGCCCAATTTACCTAGATGGAAAGATGAGGCATAATATTAAACATTTAACAACTATAGACGATATTACTGTGTCAAAAACTTTATTCCAGTTGTGGGCACATTATATGATAATGTGGGAGTGATGAAATGGCAATCAGTCGATACAGACCAAGTTGTGTTAAAACTGATTAAGTTATATAATGCTAGTTCAAGCTAATAATTTAGTGTGTTATTACAGCATTTGGCATCCATACAAAATTATAGCAGTGTCTACATTGTTTCATCTTCGTTGTAAAAAATGTTTTTTAATGTAAATAAACAAATTTTATGCTCTGACTCGACCAGTGTAAGTATCTGTTTTCTACACACATACAAGTAATGTGTCAAAAAAAATCAAACTGACCAGTTTTTTACTAGGTTTTATAAATTTGTCAGCGAACACACAAAAAAATCGCAGTTTTTGCTGGATATTGTTTTTACATAAGTCATTTTTATACACATTATTTAACTTCGTCTATTAAAAACTATATATATTTATTCTTTAAAGAAGCAGTGTGTAGGATTTAGGGGTATCTGTTGGCAGAAATGGAGTATGACATCCATGATTATGCTTTCATGAGTGTATAATCACCTGAAACTAAGAAACACTAAGAAGCAACATCTCCGCATGCCTTGAGAGGGCTATTAATTTAGTTGCAATCTGCAACCTCACCACTAGATGGCACTAAATCCCACACGCTGCTCCTTTAAGAGATGTTTAAATGAACTTGTTATAAATTACATAACAGTAAAATTCAACTGTAGGCTGTTCACATTTGTAAGGTCATCAACAACAAAAACACGTGCCTCATTATTCTGTTTGAACAGCTTAAGAGATTCATATGGACCACATGCAGTATTGTTAGAACAACCACAGACAAAATGCAAAACCGTCTAACTTCCTTGTAAAGTCAAGATTTTCAACATTAGGACTGCACTTAGGTGATTTATGTTTAGCAATTCATTGTGAATGATTAGCACATAATCAGCAGCATTGTGACATCTGTCCCTGGGTCAGGTGTTGATGACATCACGGCTTGGGTAGTGTGTCCATGTACTTGCAGATGATTCCCAGCATGACCTCATCAGCGCCTCCACCAATCGAAATTAACCTGGCATCTCTGTGGAAAGGTAAAAGTTATAGTGTTATTATCTGAATTTCTTTAAACAGCTTCAATAACTACAATTATTTTTTCCTTACTTAAAGCAACATCATGCATCCTGAACCCCTTGTCCAATGGTATTATTTACCCCATCAGTAGATGTCAGCATAGTACAAAGTATGGGCTGGGAGAACCTGACTCAAACACTGTTACGTGATTACACACTGTGTAATGTCAACACTGCACAACAGGAGACTGAGCCTGATTACACGTCTTCAATAGTTATTATTAACTGATGCTGATCATATGCTGCTTCTGTAGAAACCATCAATTAATCTGATCCCAACAATTTGGTTTAACTTCTTTGAAAATAAATTAACCATGAGCTTCATCAAGCTCCTGCCAACTGGTGAGGTTACCATAGAAATGTTATACCCTCACAAAAAGCACATAGTTGGCAGCCAAATATAACCACAGTTGGCTAGCAACCTGTGCAACCTTTTTGGATGAGATGAGAAAGTGCACAGGGGTGAAAATACTGGAAAATCAAAGTGCTATATGCTATACATCACTGAGGAAATGTTTTTTAAACCATAAATCACTCATCGAAAGACATTTTATTTCAGTTAACATTTCTCTGACTGGTTTTACCTGAAAAATCTGCTGACCAGCACGTCACTGGTGAAGCCCATTCCTCCCCAGTACTGGAGACAGGTGTCCGCCACTTCCCTGGCCAGGCGGCCCCCCTTTAATTTGGCCATGGATGCCAGCTTGGTGACATCATTGCCTTTAATGTACATTGCTGCCAGGAAATTTAAAAAAAAAAGACAGAAGTAGTGACACAAGCATGGGCGAATGTGAAAATGTCCAGGTGGATTAAAAGGAAGAATGCGGCGAGGAAAACAAAGACAATAAACAAATGGGGTTCAGATTTAAGAGTCCCCAGTGGCTCATCAATGCCTCTATTGTAGGTACCCTCCAGGGGAACATGTGTGAGCTGCGTGATTTTTCCTGTTACAGTTTGTGCATCTGTGTGTGTGTGTGTGTGTGTGTGTGTGTGTTGATCTACCTGTGCCAAACAGATGCAAAAGCTTTGATCTGTTTCTGGGCAAGCGAATCGGAGCAGCTAGATGAATTCATTCAAAGCTGCTTGCCACTGAAGTGGTTACAAACACAACGAGAAAATCACAAGACCTCGAACACCCGCCCGCCAGATGCACCCACATGTTCATAGCGTAAACACTGCAGTGTAAGGCACTGGGGATGTTGTTTTGGAGGAGCTGGTTGTGTGCCAGGTTTTCAGGTGGCCAAGCCTGTGGGGTTTGATGTTATGCCAGTACACACTAAAACAATAATAGTTTGGTAGAGCGAGGCCAACGTTACTGTTTAAACATGTAAGTGTCCTTCAGCAAGACACTCCAGTACTCAATGTTGTTTGAAAAGGGCATATACATCAACACACTAACAATTAATGGAATTAGATGGGAAGTCAAAAAGCTTGTAGCTGTCAATGTTGATCCTAAAGCTAACAGTTACTGTTTATAGTGAACCAATCATATCAGTGTTCATTAACTTATTACTACTTAGCAGACAAGTAGTAGACATTATTCTTCAGCTTGCACTTTGCCCTCTATCTTTTAAACCAACCTGCTGCATTAAACGTGGATAAATAACTCACTCAAGGCTAGTTTGGCATTCACATCATTCTTGCAGAGCTAAGTCAGCCGTGGTCTTTGTTATCAAAGCCTCAGTCTTATCTATGGTATTACATGCCATGAAGACGGCTGCCTGCACTCATTTGGTATGATTTTACTGAAATCCTCCACATGCAAAAGGTCGATGTTGCAATTAAATTTATATTTAGAATATAAATATTTTTATATTAATAAATAACATTGATACTACCCAAAAGTGTACCAGTGGATTGATAAGTAGAGACAGATGTTTGAAAAATAACTGATACAGTAACTACTAGGGATGTCCCGATCACATTTTTTTTGCATCCGATCCTGATACAGAGTTCTTTATTTTGAAACCGAGTCCGATCCGATACTTTGCAAAGCATTAAGAAAGAAAAAAAAGAATGCATCCAAGTTGTCCCATAAGGTTTGTTTTTTATTTAAATAGTATCCAAAAAGCTTATCGGTGGTTCAGCAGCATAAAATGTAAACAAATTCAATATCTTCTTCTTGTCTTCAATAAACAAAATAGGCCTATATCTTTATACATTGGAAAGCGGAGGCAACAATGAACAACATCGATGAAAAACCTGGCCATTTTTGTTGTTTTGATTCCTCCAATCTTTTACGATTTTGTAAAAATAATGTGATTGGAGCCAATACCTGAGGATCAGATCGGGACATCCCTAGTAACTACACAAATAAAGGTAACACACACACACATTTGCATAGATGACCTAAGCGTTGTTAAGGAGGAATCCGCACTCTGACAGCTGCCTTGTTACCACTGTATTCATTCAGTGTGCCTCCACGGTCTGAGGTACAAATGGACAACAGTGGGATAAGATGGTGCAACAGCTTTGCTGGTTTTAAATTTAAGATGAAATCATGGCTAAAATCAACCCATCATCATGTATGTGTATTGTTGTTGTGGTGTCTTAGTGTTGTAGTTGTATTGTTGATGCTGTCCTTATTGTTGTCTCGCTACTGTTATTGCTGAAGCTGAAGCTGAAGCTGCTGTGTCATGAATATGTTCTATTTTGTAACTGTGTTTTTCATATAACAGTGTCTTTTAGCAGAGAAATTATTCCGTTTCCTGCCCAGGGACTACAGATGAAAATTGGCTTATAGCTAACTGTGGCGCAGCTACGGAGATGTGCACTGTCCCTGTTAAATAAATAAAATAAATAAACATTTAAAGTTAAGCGTTCAGTATCTGCAGACAGCTGCAGACTTGTACCTATCATGCACGCTATTTGTACTACAATTAAGGGTCCACATTGGACTGGCAATGATGCACCATTAAGTTGTTTGGCAAAGCATAAAAATCAAGAACAAGGAGCTTGCACATTAGTAAAGACAATGGCGACAACACCATGAAGAGCTCCCATGATTGTTGTTTTCGGCTAAACAAGAAAAGCGCGAAATGAAAATACGTAATGTATGCCTGCTTTATGAGAACAGGACCAGCAACTGGAGGTGGAACAAGTGAATTTTTGCAACGGCAGCATACACAGTTGCCACACTTGCTATCTGGATGACATCATTTACGTTACGCAGACCAAAACAGACCCTGACAGACGAGGAACAGAGTCATTTAGATGCAGCCAACACTACCAAGCTAATCTTTCATTTTTGTTACGTCATGTCTGTATATAAAGCAACCCCACCTGTAGCACGGTAGAGGAGGGAGCGGAGCAGCTCCACCTCCGTCTGCAGCTCAGCCAACCTGAAGTGAACGGCTTGGTGGTAGAGGACAGGCTGCTTGAAGATCTTCCTCTGCCGTGTGTACTGGATGGTCTCCTGAATGATGTTGTCCATACTGGTGACGACTGGAGGTGTTAAGATAAAGAGACAGAGATAAAACCTTAGAGCTATTGCTTCCACGTGCACTGCATGCCTGTTTGTGCGTGCTTGTCATTTCTGTCTCTGATTCATGTTGTGATGCACAAACCAAGCTGATTCAGTATTTGCATTTAAAGTTTCAATTTTCCTACACAGTTTCTCACACGTTCTGCCCAAGCAAACATTGATGTTAGCTTGTTACTAAAATAAAAAACAAACAAACAAATACTTAACAGAAGATTAATGGCTCGAACTATGTGACCTGAACTTCTTGGAAACTGAAACGGAAATGATCCCGTAATATAATAAACTACAATTTACAGTAAGTGGAAAAGTAAAGAAAACGAGGAAAGATGACGTCTGATTACTGGATATTGCCGGGAGTGAGGGAGAAATGAGGAATTAAAAGAAAGGCTCACTCACCATTGGCCACTGCCCAGAGCCTCTCTTCCTGGAACTGAAGCATCTGATAGGTGAATCCCATGCCTTCCTGGCCGATGAGGTTCTTGCAGGGCACGCGGACATCGTCGAAGAACACTTGAGCTGTGTCCGATGACCACATGCCGAGTTTATCAATCTTGCGGGCGATGTGTACTCCTACGGGGAGAAGGGCAAGAAAAAAAAAACCATCATCATGCATCTTGGCAAAGGCACAGTAATAACAACGAATCCTATTGATAGAACGGAAGGATGTTTTTGGGTTATATGCTCATGTAAATCATGTGGGAAGATTGCAGTAAATCATTTGTTTTAGTAGAACTGAAACAACACAGAATCTTTAATTTGAGGGCTGTTTTAGATGTAATCGAATCCCAGATGATGAATGTCAATTACAGAGGTTTTGTCCAAAGAAAAGATCTTCTGCTTTTACATGAAAATCATCTCACAAATAACTGACTCCTACCTGGCAGCTTCATGGGCACACAGATGAGGGATTTATTTCTGTGAGGTGGCCCGTCGCTGGTGTTGGCGAGGAGACAAATCCAGTCAGCCTGGGTACCATTTGTGGTCCACATCTTTCCCCCGTTAATAACGTATTCCTCCCCTTTCCTTACTGCCTTGGTCATGATACCTGAATCAGTGTGTGGTGGAGTGTGTAAATGGATGGAGAGAAAGAGAAATTGGGAAGATGATTGCAAGGATGGAAGGTATGTTTTAAAGGATGAACAATCCAAGAAAAACAATTTGGGCTGTTAAAAGAAAGATGTTACTCTGAGCAAAGGTTGGTGTATTAAAGTAAGGGCCCTGTCTTCAGCACAGTGCAACTGTCATTGTTTGTTCCAGATGCCCAGTGCCCACACGGCATAAGTAGTAAATGACCGTTCAGGTGCATAGCTAACAAATGAAAACCTGGTCTTAAAATCAGCGGCACAGGATTTTCCTGCTATTTAATGGGCACATTATTCAGACAGTAAGATGTGCCTACACAGGCTGGTTCACAAATGCGTATACTCACTTACTACTATACTACACTCACCAACGCACAGTTGGGTTGCA